GTATTCAATTTCCTGGGGCTAAAACAATTTTGGTTTAATTGGCCAGGTCAACCGACACAGGACACGCTGCCCAGGATGTGAAGAAAAGCCAAATGCTGGGCCACTTGGCTGAAATTAAAGAAAAATCTCCATGCTGCCAGGCACTGGGCACTTCAGCAGTAGGTTTGATTCACACTTTGCATTTCCCACCAAGGAACAGTGCATGAAGCCACACCAGGCCCTGATGATGCTCCTTTTCCCACGGCTGGGGGAGGGGCAGCGTGCTCCCGCCCTCAGAGAAGCACCACTGGCCATCCTGCCATTCCCTAGGGCTGCGTTCCGAAATACAAAGCAGCTTCCAGGTTAACTTATTCATTCTTTTGCTTTTGCATTAAAAAGAAAGAAAAAAAAAAAGAGCCAAATGACATGAAAAGAGTTACCTAAGGTTTACCATCTTTAAAATGGTCAAGATTAGTGAAAATGTTTAACAATAGGTGGGGAGAACTCTACGCACCCTAGAGTCCATCAAGGTCTTTCTAAACCAAAAATCAGTTTTGCCAACTTCTTCTGCTCATGTTTTCTGATTTCCAAGTATGGTCTTTATTGCCCAAGTTGTAATGTTTGTTGATTTAAACCCTATAGAGCTATATAGGATAGAGAGGAAACTTGCTGGATCACATTATTCAAAACTGTCTCCTAGGTTACAGAAAAACAAAAGGTACCTCCTTGGGAATCCCCACCATAGGGACAGGTCATCAAGACTCAGCACCTCCCAAAATTTCCATAAGTGCTATGACGAGTCAGGGAAGGCCTGGGCCTCATTCTTACCACTAGGTGTCACACTAAGCAATCAGGAACAAAGACCACCAGGTCCTGAAGGCCTCTGGTATGAACATAAAGCCTTTATGAAAGGAGGTGCAAAATTACTTCATCCTGACATACTTTTTATTTATGCATGGTTTCGTTTTAATAATAATTTTAAACCTTCAGCTAAAAGTTCTCTTCTATGGTATCCTTTATTAGTGGGGCATTTAGAGTTTGACATTTCTGTACTTTTTTCACAGACATGAATCTACCACCCTCTATTTTATCTAACAATTGAGTAGAAAATACTTAGAGTATTTTCCAAATTATAGTATATTCAGTCTCATTTTCAAAATGTGTTTTCAAAACTGTTAATACTGCTTTGGCCAAATGATTAATATGCTGGGATATAAATTAGGTAAACTGCCACAGGGCACGTAGGTAAATTTTTCTGAATTTCCATTTCTTTTTAGGAAAGTAAGGACAATACCTATCTTACAAGATTAGTTCTGAGAACAATGTGTTACATAAACTGCTGGGAGTCCTTCCAAAAATTTACACTGTGAATTTCCAAGAGACATGGTCACCCTTACGCAGAATTATACATGCATTTGTGGCCAAGTAACACAATTTTTAAGCTGGTAAAAACAAACAAACAAAAAAACCTAAACAGCGTTAAATCCAATCTTTTCTTTTTTTGGTTAATCCTCACTGGAGGATATTTTTCCATTGATTTTTAGAGAGAGTGGAAGGGAGGGGGAGAGACACAGAGAGAGAGAAACACAGATGTGAGAGAGACACATCGATTGGTTGCCTCCCGCATGCACCCCAACCGGAGCTAGGGATCCAGCCTGCAACTGAGGTACATGCCCTCGATGGGAATCGAACCTGGGCATGGGCTGACGCTATAACCACTGAGCAAACTGGCAGGGCGAAATCCAATCTTCTATATAATAAAAGCCTAAGTGACCATTAAGCAGAACGACCAGAACGACTGGTCACTATGATGTGCACTGACCACCAGGGGGCAGACGCTCAACGCAGGAGCTGCCTCCTGGTGGTCAGTGTGCTCCCACAGGGGAGCGCCGATCAGCCAGAAGCCAGGCTCATGGCTGGCAAGTGCAGCAGCGGTGGCGGGAGCCTCTCCCACCTCCACAGCAGCCTAAGGAGCAGCGAGCCAAGCACTAAGGCAGGGGTCCTCAAACTTTTTAAACAGGGGGCCAGTTCACTGTCCCTCAGACCGTTGGAGGGCTGGATTATAGTTTTAAAAAAAACTATGAACAAATTCCTATGCACATTGCACATATCTTATTTTGAAGTAAAAAAACAAAACGGGAACAAATACAATATTTGTATTTGCATGTGGCCCGCGGCCCGAAGTTTGAGAACCCCTGCACTAAGGAATAGCAAGCAGGCAGGTGGTAAGGAGTGAGGCATTCCGGACTGTGAGAGGGATCCTGAACTGCAAGAGGGTGCAGGCCGGGCTGAGGGGATCCCCCCTCCAGTGCACAAATTT